ACACACGCACACACACACACACACACATACTAGCAAATCATGGCCAGATAGAAGTCTTGAAGGTGCAGGTATTTCTTTATTTTCACATATACTGACTGTTCTTGTATCTGCTGGACTGTTTCGATAAATTATGTTTTATTAGACTATAGATTGTCTCCCATCTCTCATGCACAAAGAAAATGAAGAAGACTAAAAAAACCAATAAACTTATAAAAAAGTAAACAGAAACATTGAGGTTTTTAAGTGTCTTCTGCAGAATGCAGTCAGTTCTCTCTGCAGATTTCTGGTGTTGACCACAGAAATTTCAGGATGTTATTAGTATTTATCAGCTGATGTCAAACATGTGCTTGGCTCCCATGGATGTGATGCTCGTACAGCAGACAATAGTCTCTTCAAACACCAGTTCATACTCCAAATCATCTTTAACCTTCTTGTCAAAGCCAGATTTTGGGTTTACCCCAACCTTAATCATCTTTAGTGCCGTTTTTTTTTTTTTCTCCCAAAGTGTGATACTATGAAGACATGCCACTCTGCTGGCTAATTTCTCAAATTTGCAATGAGCTTTTTTGTCCTTATACTTTCAATAGAGAACAGATCTTATTATATAAATGAACAGTGTCAGTGTTTGATAAATGTAAGAATTGTGCCCAATTCTGAGACTTGGGATTTCACATTTATATCACGTTTATTGTCCTGATGTTCAGTCTCTCAAAAATTCCGTTAATGGACAACCCGCTGTACGACTGACCCCAAAATATCAAACTCAAAGATCCATCCATCAGTTCATCATCTATGCTCCTTTTTATCCTCTGTAGGGTCATGGGCGGCTAGTATCTATCCCAGCTGACTCAGGGTGAAGGCAGGGGACACCCTGGACAGGTCACCAGTCTACTACAGGGCTACACAGAGAGACAGACAACCAAGCACGCTTACATTCACACCTATAGACAATGTAGAATCACCAAATAGCATGTTTTTAGACTGTGGGAGCAAGTTGGAGAACCCGGAGAGAACCCACAGGGTGAACATGCAAACTCCACACAGAAAGATCCCGGGCCCAGATTCAGACCCAGGACCATTGAGCTGTGAGGCAACCGTGCTAACCACTCAAACTCAGAGATGAAACTGCTCATGCTTCTCTTAGATGACAAACTCAATCCACTATGTAGACTGTGAAACTGGATGTTGTCAAGTATTTCTAATTTGCATTGTGCAGATTAGAATTATACTAAGGTGTACGTACTAAACTGGTATTTTTGTTAACATTCATATCACAGTATGTTTGCATTCAGACAAGCAGTCAGCTTCAGATCAAAGCATTACATATCTGTTAGATCCCATACAGCCTATATATGTCAGTGTAAAAACACATATTAGGTGCAGATGTGCAGACATGACGTGAGCTGAGACTGATAACTGACCTGCTGTCTAACTCTTCCTGTCTGCTCAGAGCCCTCAGCAGGACTCCTGCACGCTGCCAGGCCTCTGTTATTCACTTACAGCCTGCTTTGGGTCTCCAATTTGACTTTTTGGATAACAATAAAAATCTCATGCTCCCCTCTTGTCTTAAACCATGTGCTGAAGTAGTTCCAGCCAATAGTCCATGTTCTGTACTCACTGGGGTCCGAAATAACAAGGCAATCCATTTGTCTGGAATGGTTTGGTCTCTGTCCAATACTGCTTCTTTTTTCTCAAGTGGAATCACGACTCTTCTCCTGCTTTCCTCTACCACAATGACATTGTATCGCAAAATAATGCAATACAACATGTAAATGAGTAAGAGAATGCTTAGCATGGCTCACTACGTTTTGGGTAAATGTCAGCACTGTTTTTGCTGAATGGATACCAGAGTCATAGAGGAACAGAATGATACCCTGTTCCAGTACAAGCCTGTTGCACTTACTGGCTATGTCAAGTGTCTATCATTGTCAAAATGTCTACTAGAACTGTTTCAGGCTTTTTTTTCTGCAACTTTTTGTTTATTTAGTAATCATGTTAAAACCATCTCTCTAGGGAGAAATCATATAGCTCATTTGATTCTGTGTATCACTGTTAACAGCTGCTTGTTTCACAGATTTTATCTGAAAGGAGACAAATTAGTTTTTGCTGTTCATATGTTACGATAAAATAACTAATGACTTGCATCGTTAAATGATAATTACAATTTACTTCAACCTGCGATATTTCCCATAATGTGGCTGATGTGGTTGTATGGGTCATGCTAACTTTGCTTTCTCCACATGGGCCTGCATTGCAAAGCTACTTACCTGTATATTCATCCATGCAAGTCAGTTTGTTGATACATATAAGACTGTGGATAGCTTTTCATTTTCCGTATGTTCTGTTGTCGTATCCACTTGGTAAGTCTGACTGAGTCTGACTCATTGGATGTGGGTTACGGGTATAAGCGTGCAAGGCCGTACATTTCATGTGACAACATCCTGTGGGAGTTAAACTTTTTAAAAATCCCCTTCACTATGGGAAACAACAGCAACAACCTCTGAACAGTAAACTACCACACTAAACAGTTAAAGGATTGCTAAACGTCTAGACTGTGCAATAAAGCAGCCTTGTTAGTTTATTTGCCATTAATTATTTGTTTTAATGGCATTGCTCGCCTCCCTGCATGCAAATGTTCCACCAAAACGCTCACATACTATTCAAGTGAACACCAAAACTGCATCCTGTTTTTATCCTCACTCACGACAATTATGATTGGTTTAAAGAAACACATACATGCCAGAACGCATTTCCCATTTTTTATCAGAATGATAATGAGGTGCAGCCAGATCATTCCCCACAGCCCTGTGTCAGCACCAGAGAACGGTCTGACTGTACAAGACGAAGTCTGGCCCACACATGACATAACATGATGCTTTCAGGGTCAAACACTCATTCAGAAAAAGGAAACAGAACCTGTAAACTTTTTCATGATTTCTTCTTTCTCAAGAGTCACGCATCTATGAAAAGAGGGTCTACAAAGTTGAAATAAGCTAGAATTTAGCGAGCTTTATTTCTACAATTGAGGTGAAGCTTGCAAAGTTAGCATGACCCACAGTAACACAATAGACACATTTAAAATAAATACACTGGCTTGGAATAAACTGGAATCATCCTTTAAATTCAAAGTTCATGACAGCTGCATCCAGTGAGTGTTACTCTCTCTGGGTTCAAACAGACCAAATATAATTGTTTTCCATGTTAGAACTGGGGTTAAAATTTCATTTCAGTTATATATCAGCCATGTTAGCTAGACCATGACAGTGGATTATCTTCAGTGTACAGGCTGTAACAGAAGCTTTGTGTATTATCTTTAATTGTAGAATGTTGTACTGTTGTTTAGATAAGGAAGGTGGGGTTTCTTGTTTGTAGGCTGGCTTGGCTCTTGGCCCAGTGTCAGCCCCAAAACATTAGAATTCAGCAAAGGAATGCAGTGAAACTTCGGCTCTGTCAGGCCTCAGAGGCTCTCAGCCCAGCACTGGTTGCATTGGCGCTATTCATAATCTAAATCAAGATACAGGGATTTGAAAAGAGAAAACAATCTGCTCATTATTCTACCCTCACAACAGTGTGAGCCACAATCCAAAGCATGTAGGGGCATGTAGAAGTGCAACGGGTACAAATGTCCACAGGTGACTAGACAGTTGCTTGTCACAGGATCCTTACTTTAATTTTCTGTTTTTTCTTTTTAGACTTAGATCCCAGATCTCAACCTGTGTTTTTACGTTTAATTTCCTTACCACGACTCTGTCTGTATTGCCCATGTACTTTCTGTACGTACAACCTGTTTGACTTTGTTTGCACTATGAGCTAAAACATGATGACCAATGGTGTTGATTTTTCACATGCAGCCAAACTATGTCTCATGTACCGAGGCCTGGACTCCACAGACCTCTGAATGTATCCTGTGGTATCAGGCGCCACGAAAATAGCAGTAAATCCTTTAAGTTCTGGAAGTTGTAAATTGGAGCCACTGTGGATCAGATTTGTTGGAGCACATCAGCCACTGGGTCCCTCCATGGGCCTGTCAGTAAATACTCACCACTGCTGGTTGGGAGAAACCCACAAAACTTCCTGCTTTGATTGATCCGGCCCAGTAGTGTGGTCATTACAATTTGGTCCATGTCCAATGGGGCCTTCAGTTGTCAATGAAAAGTCCCTGTGGCCACCACAGATCTGACAAGTCAAGTTAATTCACTGAATCTCAGAGATGTTTACTGAACACATCTACTGTGTCTGCCATAAAAGCAGCATGAGTACAACAGTCAGTCATCTGTGTGGCTGAACATCACAGAGGACACAAAAGACACAATATGTGCCTTTTGTTGACAGATCTGCACATGCAGACCGTAACAGCTGTTTTTAAGAGATTTTCCTCTGAGTTTATTAAATATGTGCAGCATCAAGCAGCAGCTAGTTAATATGTATCATAGGTTGCAGTAGTTAAACAAAATAGTCAGACAAGGACATTATTATCAATATTGAAATCATAAATATACTTTAGAGGTCTTGTCTGTGGGTGGACATTTTTTCCTCAAATGCAGCAGCACCTCTTTTCCTAGGCTATTTTAAACAGTGGGCCCCCTAACAACCAAAATGTTAACTGTACTTGTATTAGTCTGTACATTACATAATTGGTGATCTTCCCTGTAAAATAAGAAACAAATGAATATGTTGTGCCAGCCCAACATTTTTAGTGGCCTCATCTCACCATCCCTGTAAAACATTTCTGCAGGCGTCACTGTATGTCAACTGACTGTTCTTTTACCGTCTAATATATCCCAGACCTTGACACGCACCATTGTTACAAGACAGTGTTATTCACTTTATCTTTGAGTGGTCATGTTTTGGCTCATCTGTATACTCTGACTGTTACATCAACACTGCAACACAATTATCATTCCAAACATCCCCTCATGTCTTTTTCTTTACAATGGCTGTCTCCTTCCGCCTACCCCTCCGCTCTGACTTCCCCTCTCCTCTGCCATGTGTTTGCTCAGGCTGAGGAGATAGTGCGCAGGGAACTAGAGAAGAAGGAGACGCCCAGTCTGTACTGTCTACTTGGAGACATCTTGAGGGAGCATCAGTACTACGACCGGGCATGGGAGGTGTCGGGTCGACGCAGTGCCAGAGCCATGCGCTCCAAAGCTCTGCTGCACCTCCACAACAAGGAGTTCCAGCAATGTGTCGACTGCTTTGAGCAGTCGCTCAAAATTAACTGCATGCAGGTACAAGCAAAGCACTGACATTGTACACACATTGTGCTGTATGCAGAATAATAACAATCAATTCCTCATTAACTTGTCTAGTTTTTGGAGTTAGCTGTTATTAATTGGTAATGTACCAAAGTGAATATGTATTTATTATTGATTCATAATTGGAAACTTTCTGTATACTGTATATTGCACTATAGGCTTTCCCGTAGATAAATGTCCCATTTTTTCTATTTTTAGCTGAACTAGAATAACAGAAGTCACATTTGTGGTTAATTGGAATAAACACTCAACACAATGTTTTCCTTTTGCCGACCCCACATAATAGCATCTAAAGCTTTCTCAGGAAACATACAGGAAATTATATATCCGTAATATAAAGAGATGTCAACATCAGCCTCAGCTATGCTTTGTGTTTAGTGCTCATTAGAACAGGCACATTGATTAATTGTATTTCTGCACTACGAGCGAGACCAGTTTTATTGTTGTCTTGGGCACCCATTCACTGAAGACTGGGATCAGATGTATTTATCTCTCTCAAATGACATGCTGAAGGAATCCCAGTGTAACCTTAACAGCCATATCACTGGACACAGACCTGTACATTCCTTTGTCACAGATCCAGCAGCTGGATTTTCTGTCTTTAATCCTTCCTGGATGCAGTTATACACTCAAGTTTTTAGAGACAAACACAAGACTCAGTGTGAGAGTTTTACAGAACAGGTAACCTGGTTGGAGACTCTCCGCTTTATCAGGATTTAAATAATCTGCTACTTAACTACAGCTTTTAGGGTCTCGTTTGGAAATATCTGCACTTTGATTCACATTTATTGTTTTTCCCCCGTGTGTGTTTGTGTGTGTGTTTGCACAGCTCGGTGTGTGGTTTTCCCTCGGTTGTGCCTACTTTGCCCTGGAGGGCTATGAGGGAGCTGCTAAGTCTTTCCAGAGGTGTGTGGGACTGGAGCCAGATGTAAGTACCTACAAACACATACCACACACTGTCTTATCTTTGTGAGGACACTCATCGATATAATGCATTCTCTAGCCCTTTACCCCACAATTTAATACCTAACCTCAACCCTGACCTTTACACTAAACCTGTTACCAACCTAAAACCAAGTCTGAACCCCTAAACAGCTCTCTGAATTTGTGAGGACCATCCAGAAAGTTATTACAATGTAGGATGTTCTCGCTATGGTTTGAAACAAGAGTCTCTCCACACAAATGTAGAATGGTATGTTTACACATACACACATACTACAACATGTCGTGTTTAAACTATTCATAACTACATGCCTAACCCTAACTATTACTAAAATTGAAGCTATACCTAAACCTAGCATTTCCCTTAACCTTGACCTAACACTACCAAAATCAACATGATCAAAGTTAACAATTTCTGTTGTTGGGACTCTTTGTCCCCAAAAGGCAGACGGTTGCCACAACATGAGTTGTATCAATTCACACACACACACAGAACAGAATTCCAGTGACTACATCATCTTGTTTGCTTTTCATTGTCTTAGAACACATACTGTCTGTTGACTTGCAACACTGGCCTTTTTTTTAAAATAATCTTTTCATTCTTCTTTGAAATTCTATTTGTCAGTGTTTGCTGTTATGCACCAAAACATCATGTCAGACTCCGTTTATGTGAAAACCTACTTGACAATAAAACTGATTCAGATTCTGATCACACACACACACACACACACACACACATTGTGGCCATGTAGTTTGGTGAGGTCTTTACAGCCCTTTACAAACACTGGATACATAACACCACTAGCTGCATCAGTCCACTAAAATGAGCATTTTGTCATTCAGACATACAGGTGTGTGACTAATTACAGAAAAAAACGGAGCCCTTGACTCCTGCAGTGAGGAGATCTGGAAGCACTGTTCTGCTGAGGGAGGCCTTTTGCTGCCATGGTTTGAGTCCACGTGTCTTTCTACAGGGGAAAAAAACCCACTACAAGTCAATACAAAGTTTTTCTGAATGATTACTTTCATCCTATAATGAAACATTTCTATCCTGATGGAAGTTGTCTCCTGCAGGATGACATTTCTCCCACCCACAGGACACAAGGGGTCACTGAATGCATGGATGGGCATGAAAAGGATGTGAATTGTGAATTACAGACCAGTCACTAGGTCTTCACCCAGTTTAGCACCTATGGGAGATTTTGGATTTGTGTCGGACAGTGCTCTCCACCACTGTTATCAAAACTCTGCATACATATATTTGAAATTGAATTGATTCTTGTAGAGTCAATGCCAAGATGCATTGCTGCTGTTCTGGCCGTACGTGGAGGCACAGCACCTTACTAACACACTTCATGTGTTTATGTTCTTCTTTCTTTTCAGGGGTCTGTGCGTCTTCTTTACAATAATGTTGTGATACTTTCAGATGCTGTCAGATTATTGGAAAGGAGTGCATGTCTGAAAGGGGCTTTATGGTCACTCTTCACAGCACAGATGCAGCCTTTGCCTTTGTGCTTTATTGTGTGTTAAGTCAAACATTGTATTGTCTTTACTTTTCTACTATAGGATCTGACATATAATTTTTCCTTCTTCCACCTCAACCCCCCATTCTACCCCCACCCTCCTTTCAGAATGCAGAAGCGTGGAACAACCTCTCTACAGCTTATATTCGCCTCCAGATGAAGTGAGTATGAGTGTGGTGTGTCTCACAGAACAAACGTGTTTGCATTCACAGTAAGAATGTGTGTGTGCCAGGTAGTAAAATGTTGGGTTTTGATTAATAGGATTTTTTGCATTCCACTGCAAAGCATTCAAAACCATCATATCAACAGTTAATGTAATGTAAATTGTTCCAGTAGTTTTCAAGATAAGTTGTGCTCCTCCAACATGTTTGACCTCTAAGTGTGAATGTAAAGATCAGGGAATCTATGGCGATTAGTCCAGGTGTCTTAGATGGCTGTTACTGATAATTAGCTACCAAAACATGATGGCGTAGACTGCTCTTGTACCTTTCTGACACTTTTGTGTGCCTTAGTTACACATTCTTAGTTTGGGATTCCACACAGTGGAGCTGTGGATTTCTTGTTCCACTTCATCCCCAAAATGGATTGAGATCTGATGATTGTGGAGCCCATTGGAGCATCGTAAAATCATTTAAAAACATTAAAACTATAAGCAACAGTGAAAGGAAAAGTTTGGAGAAAACATCCCAAGCTCTTTTTTAAAGACATTAAAAATATGTTAATCGTTTTCATCTGGACTGTGTGGGTTTGGTTTGATCAGATTTGACTGGCAGTGCTGGCAACATGAGCAAGAAATTATCATTTCCATTTAAATGTTGCACAGCTCTGGTGCATGGAAACAGGGAACCTGAGCTGCTCTGATTTCAAACAAGTGAGAAAACAAAGTCAAAACCAAAACCACAGAAATCTAGTTTTTCAGAGACTCCATATTACACCTTCAATTTTAAGCAAATTTAACATGCATCTACATGCATCGTTTTGGTTTCGTCCCAATGTTAAATGTTTTTGGGAGACCAGCTCTGTGGAAATTCTTTAATTAAATCTTCCATCAAACTGTAAATGCTCATTCAGCTCTTCTCCTCCTCCTGTGTTGTTGTATGTTTTCGGGTTTGTTTCTGATCCTTGCATTGTTTGTACTTTGTATGCATTAGGGTGATTATTTTCTTGTATGAGTTTAGTATTTGTTGTTTTGTTGTTGTTTTGGGGGGGGCAGGGGGGAGCCTTGACTGGGCATTTTAAGTTTTGTGGTAAATGTTGTTGGTGTTGTTCTTTTTTTTATTCTTATTTTTTTTTATTTTATTTTTTTGTTGGTTTCTTCTGCTGTGGCCCATCCACTTCCAAGTTGTCTGACCTGTCCCACAATCATCTTAGAACTGTCCCTTATTGGATGTTTTTTCACACCACTGTCTGTAAACTTTGTTATGGTAAAAGTTCTGGAGATCAGCAGTTTCAAAAACACTTAAACCGACTCAGCTGACATCAACAGTCACAACTGTTAAAGGCACTTTTTTCCCATTCTGATGTTTGATGTGAACAACAGTTCAGCCTCTTGATCATGTCTGCATGCCTTTGACTGTGACGTAGATTTTCATTAGTAAGCACCAGTACAGGTTTAAAGTGCCCACTTAATATTATATATATAATATAATATAATAAATATTTTACTGAGCAAAATAATGATATGTTCTGCAACCAAGGACAACATGCAAACAGACAAAACACAAATTCAGAATTTGTACAGAATAGAACCAAAACTGTACAAAATTATTACCATATGATGGTTCAGTAAAATGTATCCAAATAAAAGTCATGAAGATTCTAAAGGCTCGGGTTGTGTGAGAGTCTTCATAAAAGCCCAGGTTCTTTATGGCTCCGTTCTGTGCAGAGACACACACATGGATCTTGTGTTTTTTCCGAGCAGGGGAGGCTCTGAGAGCACAGAGAGAGCCTGAGAGCCTTTGTTCACAGCAGACCCATGTGCTTTCAGGCCTGAAATTGAAAAGCAAAGCAAGAAAACCGTTATTAATACCTGCTTACCGTTGCCAATTCAGCACAAGCACTTTATAACTCAAAAGGTTTGTGTGAGTTGTCTGAGTGGAAATGAATATTACTATAACTTTGGTCATACACCGCTGACTCTCTTTGTCCATCTCCTCCTGTCATCCTCATTGGCAGAAACAAAGCCTTCCGTACCCTCCAGGAAGCCCTGAAGTGTAATTACGAACACTGGCAGATTTGGGAGAACTTCATCGTTGTCAGCACTGACATCGGAGACTTTGCTGAAGTCATCAAGGCCTACCACCGTTTGATGGACCTGAGGGAGAACTACAAGGACATCCAGGTAAATGACTGCACCTAATGTGTTCTACAGGGACATCAGTATGTGTACTAGTGGAAAATTCTGCTGAAGCCTCCTGGCACACAGCCCGAGGTAAAAATACTCATTTTTGTTTTGCATTGTTTTTTCTTTATCAAATGAGCTTGGCTGCCTCGTGACCTTGTCATTGCAGGTCTGAGTCTCTCTGGCAAACCAGCTAGCTGTATTGTTAACTCGTTTAATTGAATTAACTTTTTTTGCCCTGAAATTTGGCAATTTAAATGCTAACATACTACAAACACACTATAAAATGTTAAAATTATTGCCAAAGCTTTAATGGGTATTTTTACAACAGAGTATCAGATGAGAGCATGAAAATGGCGTAAAAGGGTTTCGCTGAAAAATGAGCTCACAGTGACAAAAATGGGACTGGAGCAAAGAAACGCCCAGAAACTGACTGGACTTCTGAGGGTCAAAAGACAGTGTTTCATTATACAGCGTGTTTGTGCTGTTAAAAATCAATCAGTGCAGGTTTACATAGAAGTATTACATTAAAAAAATCTGTTGTATTTTTTTGTACGATGACAGGAAAGCTTCTTCTATTCTATTAAGTACATTGTTCTGCTATTTAGGTTCAGAAAAGTTGTGGGTATAAACTATTAATGTTACAATAATGACAACATTTTGTTATTTTACAACCTGGCATTGTGAAAAACAGTTTTTATGTAGGTCAATTAGCCTTATATATGAACTCTAAGTCTTTTAGCTTATGCCTACTACATTTTAGATGAAAATAATGAATTCATTTCATCATTGACTTTATAAATGAAACTGTAGATCTAGTATCATTTGTTTCTGTAGAGCAAGAAGTTCAAACAAAGGTTGGAAAAGCGTGCANCCTTGCTGGCCCTAACAGCACACCACTGAATTTTATTGGTAGGTTTATGTTAATTGGAAGAGACAGAATATCAACCAAACAATCTAGAAAAGCACATCATCTTGTAATTCTAAATTCATTTCCAATTCATTAGGGGAAATAAATATTTGATCCCCATCCTGCCAGCAAGAATGCTGCCTCCCACAGATTGAATAAGCCTCGGCCACAACCAGCTGTACAGGCTCCTACATGCAGGTGCCATACAAGTCCGTCTTGCAAAATAGTTGAAGACAGCCTGTAAGCACATACGAAGGATTTTGGACATGTTCAACAAATTCTACGAAATCTCTGCGAACATTGACGCCGCAAGTGTAACTTGCTCCCCCCGCAAGGAGTTTGCAAGTGAGATGTGCAATTTTTAAGGCACCGTGGGAAGAAAATCTGTGGTCTAAGACACATGTTACACACAATGAGGAAGCAAGTGCTCCTTGTGTGTTAAGTGTGACGCACGCACTCACAACTCACGAACAAAATCAAACGCACAGTGGGCGTGTGTCACACTTGCGTCACCCCATGCAAGGAGTATATAAAGCGTACTCACGGCGCACACTCGCAGTGATCGTCAAGTGTACAACATTGGCATTTTTAGGATTGGGAGGGATCAGGGGCTGAGCCAGAACATAAGGGGCTAGGAAAATGTTGGGCCTATTGTAGTGTATGTGCACACACTGAAATGTGTTTTTTTTTTTTTTTTCTTTAAATGTCTCTTTNATACATAACACCACTAGCTGCATCAGTCCACTAAAATGAGCATTTTGTCATTCAGACATACAGGTGTGTGACTAATTACAGAAAAAAACGGAGCCCTTGACTCCTGCAGTGAGGGGATCTGGAAGCACTGTTCTGCTGAGGGAGGCCTTTTGCTGCTATGGTTTGAGTCCACGTGTCTTTCTACAGGGGAAAAAAACCCACTACAAGTCAATACAAAGTTTTTCTGAATGATTACTTTCATCCTATAATGAAACATTTCTATCCTGATGGAAGTTGTCTCCTGCAGGATGACATTTCTCCCCCACACAGGACACAAGGGGTCACTGAATGCATGGATGGGCATGAAAAGGATGTGAATTGTGAATTACAGACCAGTCACTAGGTCTTCACCCAGTTTAGCACCTATGGGAGATTTTGGATTTGTGTCGGACAGTGCTCTCCACCACTGTTATCAAAACTCTGCATACATATATTTGAAATTGAATTGATTCTTGTAGAGTCAATGCCAAGATGCATTGCTGCTGTTCTGGCCGTACGTGGAGGCACAGCACCTTACTAACACACTTCATGTGTTTATGTTCTTCTTTCTTTTCAGGGGTCTGTGCGTCTTCTTTACAATAATGTTGTGATACTTTCAGATGCTGTCAGATTATTGGAAAGGAGTGCATGTCTGAAAGGGGCTTTATGGTCACTCTTCACAGCACAGATGCAGCCTTTGCCTTTGTGCTTTATTGTGTGTTAAGTCAAACATTGTATTGTCTTTACTTTTCTACTATAGGATCTGACATATAATTTTTCCTTCTTCCACCTCAACCCCCCATTCTACCCCCACCCTCCTTTCAGAATGCAGAAGCGTGGAACAACCTCTCTACAGCTTATATTCGCCTCCAAATGAAGTGAGTATGAGTGTGGTGTGTCTCACAGAACAAACGTGTTTGCATTCACAGTAAGAATGTGTGTGTGCCAGGTAGTAAAATGTTGGGTTTTGATTAATAGGATTTTTTGCATTCCACTGCAAAGCATTCAAAACCATCATATCAACAGTTAATGTAATGTAAATTGTTCCAGTAGTTTTCAAGATAAGTTGTGCTCCTCCAACATGTTTGACCTCTAAGTGTGAATGTAAAGATCAGGGAATCTATGGCAATTAGTCCAGGTGTCTTAGATGGCTGTTACTGATAATTAGCTACCAAAACATGATGGCGTAGACTGCTCTTGTACCTTTCTGACACTTTTGTGTGCCTTAGTTACACATTCTTAGTTTGGGATTCCACACAGTGGAGCTGTGGATTTCTTGTTCCACTTCATCCCCAAAATGGATTGAGATCTGATGATTGTGGAGCCCATTGGAGCATCGTAAAATCAATTAAAAACATTAGAACTATAAGCAACAGTGAAAGGAAAAGTTTGGAGAAAACATCCCAAGCTCTTTTTTAAAGACATTAAAAATATGTTAATCGTTTTCATCTGGACTGTGTGGGTTTGGTTTGATCAGATTTGACTGGCAGTGCTGGCAACATGAGCAAGAAATTATCATTTCCATTTAAATGTTGCACAGCTCTGGTGCATGGAAACAGGGAACCTGAGCTGCTCTGATTTCAAACAAGTGAGAAAACAAAGTCAAAACCAAAACCACAGAAATCTAGTTTTTCAGAGACTCCATATTACACCTTCAATTTTAAGCAAATTTAACATGCATCTACATGCATCGTTTTGGTTTCGTCCCAATGTTAAATGTTTTTGGGAGACCAGCTCTGTGGAAATTCTTTAATTAAATCTTCCCTCAAACTGTAAATGCTCATTCAGCTCTTCTCCTCCTCCTGTGTTGTTGTATGTTTTCGGGTTTGTTTCTGATCCTTGCATTGTTTGTACTTTGTATGCATTAGGGTGATTATTTTCTTGTATGAGTTTAGTATTTGTTGTTTTGTTGTTGTTTTGGGGGGGGCAGGGGGGAGCCTTGACTGGGCATTTTAAGTTTTGTGGTAAATGTTGTTGGTGTTGTTCTTTTTTTTATTCTTATTTTTTTTTATTTTATTTTTTTGTTGGTTTCTTCTGCTGTGGCCCATCCACTTCCAAGTTGTCTGACCTGTCCCACAATCATCTTAGAACTGTCCCTTATTGGATGTTTTTTCACACCACTGTCTGTAAACTTTGTTATGGTAAAAGTTCTGGAGATCAGCAGTTTCAAAAACACTTAAACCGACTCAGCTGACATCAACAGTCACAACTGTTAAAGGCACTTTTTTCCCATTCTGATGTTTGATGTGAACAACAGTTCAGCCTCTTGATCATGTCTGCATGCCTTTGACTGTGACGTAGATTTTCATTAGTAAGCACCAGTACAGGTTTAAAGTGCCCACTTAATATTATATATATAATATAATATAATAAATATTTTACTGAGCAAAATAATGATATGTTCTGCAACCAAGGACAACATGCAAACAGACAAAACACAAATTCAGAATTTGTACAGAATAGAACCAAAACTGTACAAAATTATTACCATATGATGGTTCAGTAAAATGTATCCAAATAAAAGTCATGAAGATTCTAAAGGCTCGGGTTGTGTGAGAGTCTTCATAAAAGCCCAGGTTCTTTATGGCTCCGTTCTGTGCAGAGACACACACATGGATCTTGTGTTTTTTCCGAGCAGGGGAGGCTCTGAGAGCACAGAGAGAGCCTGAGAGCCTTTGTTCACAGCAGACCCATGTGCTTTCAGGCCTGAAATTGAAAAGCAAAGCAAGAAAACCGTTATTAATACCTGCTTACCGTTGCCAATTCAGCACAAGCACTTTATAACTCAAAAGGTTTGTGTGAGTTGTCTGAGTGGAAATGAATATTACTATAACTTTGGTCATACACCGCTGACTCTCTTTGTCCATCTCCTCCTGTCATCCTCATTGGCAGAAACAAAGCCTTCCGTACCCTCCAGGAAGCCCTGAAGTGTAATTACGAACACTGGCAGATTTGGGAGAACTTCATCGTTGTCAGCACTGACATCGGAGACTTTGCTGAAGTCATCAAGGCCTACCACCGTTTGATGGACCTGAGGGAGAACTACAAGGACATCCAGGTAAACGACTGCACCTAATGTGTTCTACAGGGACATCAGTATGTGTACTAGTGGAAAATTCTGCTGAAGCCTCCTGGCACACAGCCCGAGGTAAAAATACTCATTTTTGTTTTGCATTGTTTTTTCTTTAGCAAATGAGCTCGGCTGCCTCGTGACCTTGTCATTGCAGGTCTGAGTCTCTCTGGCAAACCGGCTAGCTGTATTGTTAACTCGTTTAATTGAATTAACTTTTTTTGCCCTGAAATTTGGCAATTTAAATGCTAACATACTACAAACACACTATAAAATGTTAAAATTATT